TTAAAAAAGAAAAGAGATAAAGTCCAGACAGAATCAAATTCTGTTTTTTCCTCTGTTTAACAAGTTTTTTCTTCTGCATGTATGAGGGTTGGAAGAAAAAAAATTTTTTTCCCCCCCTAAATGAAGTTAGAGAGTACAAAAATTCTGAAAATACTGCCAAGGCTCAAACTTTTTCATTTACATGATAGGACCACATATTCTGAGAATACATAGAATATTAAGTCCTCCTAACTTTTGCCCCCACACAATTACACCATCCAACTTTACATACCTGGCCTTAACACGTGATCCAAGAGGAAGTGGATTAGAGAATGTGCTTTTATCTTGGGTAGGGTGATCTCCAGCTCCAGCATCATTTTTTGGTTTCCAATACTGATCAATAAGCTTTACTTTTTTCTTCACCTATAGAGAAGAAGCAAGAAAGAAATAGGAAAGTGGCTTCTAGCAATGCGAAGACTATTGGAATAATATGCAAAGCAGAAAGTAGTTCAGTTAATCTGAAACAAATAATAACACTCATGATCAAATTCAAGGGGAAGTCTACCAAGTGAATTTCACCACTCGGAAATATTTTCAGTAAAAGTTGGTTCTAAATCTAGATAAGAATTTGGAAAGTTTTACTATCTCTCTGGTTTAAAAACAAATAAATCAATTCCAAGACTGCTGAAACAAGGCTAATCCAGATTCTATGCCATGAAATGGGAGTTCCTATATTTTCCTTTCTTCCTGTTTTCCCCAAGATGAACCCCACCACGTGAATGTTACCCACTGATCCTACCATTTTTTTTGACATCGGAGAATCCTATTTGAGTCGTATCTAGATTAGTACTATGGATAATCCTCGACTTACAATGGCAATTGGGACAGGAATTGCTGTCCTTAAGGGACATGGTCATAAAGTGCAACGTCACATGACATCACTTAGTAACGGCAATTCCAGTTGCCGTTCTTAAGCGAGGACAACGTGACTATGACTTTAGACTTCCTGCCAGTTTCCCATTGACTTTGCTTGTGAGAAGCCAGTAGGGAATGTCAGAAATTACGCTCATATGACAGCAGCTTACTGCATCATTGTAATCACAAGCTGGGTACCCAGATCATGATTATGTGACCATGGGGATGCTGTGACAGCCAGAACTCTGAGGACCGATTATAAATCTCCCTCATTCAGTGCCATTGCAAGTTTAAACAGTTGCTGAATGAGTGGTCGTAACCCAAGGACTACCTGTAATGACCAGCTGTGATTTTTTTAGTCACTGGTATAAATAAATCATAAAAAGACTAGAAATCAACAAGCCACTTTTGTTTCTTTCCCTGATCTTATATGTAAAGAGCTTTATTTTAATGACTTGGAATCCATAAGGGCCCATACAGCCCAATCGTTCAACAACAATTATCAAAGAATGAAATAGAAAGTTAAAGGCACAATCATCTCTTACCTGAACAAATCGCACGTAATCCTTGCAGATTATAGCACGGTTTGACATCACCAGCACATACAGCACACTGGAGAAGTTGGGTCTTTTTATATTATCTCTGTCAGACAACAGAATATCACTATTCAACTACTAAACACGTACATTGATTCGGTTATTTTTTTATGCGTGGCTACACCTGCAAATAAAGTCCCTTCAGTTCAGGTTTAGAAACACTAAGTTATGCCCACTGTGAAGACATCCTATAACTTACTCAGCAGCATCACAGACACCCCTAACCTGGAGGTTTAATTCCACTATAATTTTCAAGCAGGTACGAAATTATGAATCCCTTTACCTGCTATTTTCTTTCCTCTAAAAGATCAAGATGATATATACAATGTTCCCTCCTTCAATTTTATTTCACAATGTGGTGAAAAACCCACTCAAGCAGCACCAACACTGGACTTGGGCAGCCAATAAATTTAAATAATGATAATAACTGAAAAGAATCCAACAATTGTTTTATTATTTCCAAAGCCAGCGGGTTACACAGCAAGTCATTAGTCTCTTGCACCCACAACAGTCAAGAACACAGCCATATGATTACAGGAGTTTTTATATAGGTATTGATTTTTCTAAAATCTTGGCATAACTATGGATTATAAATGCTCAACATGGAATATAAATGGAGCAAATGCTGCTCAAAAGAGAAAAAAAAATCATTATTTGAAAAAGTTAAAACAAGACATCATTTGCTTACAGGAAATTCATATTAAGAAAAAGGATATAAAATACTTGAGTCACAAAAATTTGGGTGAAGAATTTATTTCAGCAGGAATGAAAAAAGAAATGGAGTTGTTTTATATATAAATTCTCAACTATATCCAAAACTTATACTGACTGATGATTATGGTAGATATGTTGGTGTAGATGTTAATTTACAGGGGGCTAAGACTTTGATATTGGGAATTTATTCCCCAAATGAAGGTAAAACAGCATTTTATAAAGGACTTATGGATAAATTATTGGACTTTCCGTATGAAAATTGGTGTCTCCTGGGAGATTGGAATGGGGTGGTTTCCTCACAAAAAGATAGAATCTCTCAGAAAAATATTTAAAATACACAACAATCAAAGGTTTTCTTTGATTTAATGGACAATATGGAAATACAAAATGGTGACTCAAAAGAATATACTTATTTTTCTGAACAACATAGATCTTTTTCAAAAAAAGACATGATTTGGATCTCTAAGACTTTGGCTACTAATGTTCATAAAATGGAGATATTACCAAAGACTTTCTCAGACCACAAGCCAGTGACTTTAACTTTTAAAAGAAAATATGGTTCTTTCAGATGGAGACTGAATGAGATGTTGTTGCAAAAGGAAACTGTAGTAAAGGATTGCAAAAAGAACTTATGATACTAAAGTTACAAGAGGAAATACTGTAATAACAGATAATGCAAATATGTGAAAAGTGTTTCACCAGTATTATTCTACTTTATATAATGGCCAAGAAATTTCTTTGGAAAAGTGGATGAATATTTACATAAACAGAATTTACCAAAGTTTACAGAGAATCAGAGACAAATTTTGAATGGACCTATAACAATAAGGGAAGTTTGTGAAGCTATTAAAAAGACTAAAACAGGAAAGGTACCTGGTCCAGATGATCTGCCAGCCCCCTATCATAAATGTTTTGAGGATGAACTTTTATAAACTTTATAACAAACAATGAATATTATTTTACAGAATGGAAAGATTTCTGACAGCTGGAAAGAGGCCAATGTGGCATTAATACCTAAAGAGGCCCAGGATCTGAGTTTAACAAGAAAACATTGAACAATATATTTACTGAATAGTGATTATAAGTTGTTTACAATGACTTTGGCTGAAAACTTGAAAATAATTTTACAGAACTTTGTTCATGAAGATCAATGTGGGTTTTTACCTAAAAGACAATTATGAAATAATATTAGAAATGTGTTGGATATTCTGGAGTATTTGGAACAGCACAATGAAAAGCAAGCTGCATTGATCTTGTTAGATGCAGAGAAGGCCGTTCATAATTTGAACTGGATTTTCTTGTTTAGAGTCCTGGAAGATATGAACTTTGGAGATAATTTTATTAAATGGGTAAGATCGATTTATACCTCACTAAAAGCGCAAATAATTGTTAATGGAGAATTAACAAAACCTTGTGAGATTCAAAAACAGACAAGACAAGGATGCCCACTGTCTCCACTCTTGTTCATTTTAGTCCTTGAGGTACTGAATAGAGACATAAGACAAGAAAAGTGGGAGTAAAGATTAAAAAAGAAACTTATAAGTTAAGGCATTTGCTGATAACCTGGTGGTAGTTTTGTAGGATCTGTTAGAGGGAGTAGAAACATTAACGGGAAAATTAAAGTACATTGGTAAGCTAGCAGGTTTTAAGATGAATAATCAGAACACAAAGATGTTAACAAAAATATGAAAATAGAAGATCAAATAGAACTGATGGAGAAAACTCATTTTAAGATTGAGAAAAAAATAAAATACTTGGGTATTATTATGACAAATATGAATTGTTTGTTATTTCAAAATAATGATGTTAAGACATGGAACAAAATTAAGAAGGACATGTTAAGATGGGAGAACTTAAAACTGTCACTGTTGGAGAGAATTTCTGTGATAAAAATGAATGTTTTGCCTAGAATGTTTTTGTTTCAGACAATACCTGTTTTCACAACTGATGTATCATTGAAGCAGTGGCAAAAAGAAACATCTAAACTTGGATGGCAAGGGGAAAAAGTTAAATACAAAGTGTTACAAGATGGAAAGGAAAAGAGAACAACTGGGTTTACTGGATTTGAAATTGTATTTTGCAGGTTGTTTGGTTTGGATGAAAAAAAATGGGTGTTGCTGAGAAACAAAAGACTTTTAGAGTTAGAAGAACACAACCTAAGGTTTCAATGGCACATTTACGGTATGATAAAGTTAACGTGGATTTTAAAAACCACTTTATTAGATGTGCCATACTGAGAATATGGAACAGATATAAACTCAGGCTGTGCCCAAAAACACCTCTATGAACCTCAGCACAAGAAGCATTTTACAGAAGAGAAAAAACAGGCAAAGACAAATGGTTAATATACCAGGAATTACTGGAGAATCACCAAGGGGAATATAAAATTAAATCAAGAGAGCAACTAATGGCAGAAGAATATAGCTGTCAATGGTTTTTCCATTTGCAGTTATAAGATTTAAAATGGATAAAAAACTTATGGTATGGAGCAAAGACAGACAGAATTTGAAGTGCAATTGTGTACCAGTGATGAACATGTAATTGCTAAAATGTATAAATTTGGGGGGAAATTTGAAATGGAAGAACAAATTAAAGAATGTGTGATAAAGTGGGCTAAGGATTTTGGTTATAATATACAAATGGATCAATGGGAAAATATGCGGTCAAAAGGGTTGAAATTTACATTATGTTATGATCTTAGAGAGAACTTTTATAAAATGCTAGAGAAATTATCTAGAATGTATAAAGGCATTCCAAATTTATGTTGGAAATATGAACAATATGAAGGGACATTCTATCATGCTTGGTGGACATGTAAAAAAGCTAAAAAAATTTGGATTCAAATACACACTTTGATACAGAAGATTTTAAAGATTAATATTCAATTGAAGCTAGAACTTTCCCTTTTAGGACTGATGGACACATAGTTAGAAAAGAATCATGGAAGATTATTTCAATATATGAACACTGCAGCAAGATTATTATATTAGTTTGTTGTAAGCTGCCCAGAGTCCCCCATTGTGGGGAGATGGGCGGGGACAAGTCTATTAAATAAATAAATAAAATAAATAAATATACACAAAGAGGGAAAGATTTGGCATTACCCACTATGGAGGAATGATTGGTGAAATTGACAGAACTTACTGAAATGGCCAATTTGATTAGAGCAAGGTCATACTGACATTCATCAGTGACTGGAAATCCCTTATGGAATTTTTGCTTAAAAAAGAAAATGATTTTGTGACTTATATTTTTGATGATTAGAAAGAAATTAAGAATTTAATTAATTATAAAAATAACACATTATTTAATTAATTAATTAATTAATTAAGAAAGAAAGAAATTAGAAAGAAAGAAGGGAATTATGATGTAGAGAGGTTTGATTACAATTGTATGTGTAACTGCCGAGAGGAAGATTAGAAGCCATTTCTTTATTTTTTTTTATGTTTTATGTTTTCTGTTTTGCTTTTGCTTTTGCTTTTTTCTTTTTTCTTTCTCTCTTCCTTTTTTTTCTCTTTCACATTTACTACATATTTTTCTTTGAATGTATTTATTATATATGTAAAATCTTTTTAAATAAAAACTATTTTTTAAAAATGAGTTTTTATATAGCATTGCCAAGTAAAAGCATATTGCCAAATATGCAAAAGAAATTCTTCCACAACTGATAAGAAAGGGAGATAAAAGACAAGTATTCAGGGGAACATCCTAGAGGGAGACTTAGCAGCTCCCTTTTGAAATGCAGGCTTACTACTTTGATATATGAGAGTCTTAAACTCTTAATAATTATTTTTAACAGACTGCCCCTGTATAGTACATTAGAACAGGGAGGTGATAAGAGTGTTGTTAATTGGCATCCTTGAGCCTGTTACTGTTCTTCAAGACTTATAAACATTTGAGGGTCAAACAGGATGTCTGGGGAACAAGTTGTTCTTTTTTTTTTTTAAATACAAATTGTAACCAAATAAAGCGCATCTAAGCAGTTATATTCACCAGTAGCAAGTTCAGCAATTAATTCTTCATAAATACTTAAGCTCCATATGCTCCAAACTGATGCAAGGGTCTTCAAATTCAAATATTTTCTCCACAACAGCAACAATTATCTGAGATAATTATCTGAGGCTAAGAATTGGTACTTGAATCAAAGTTACTCAGTGAACTTTCATAGCAGAGTGTGAACTTGAAACTGGATCTCATTTATCTATTTATTTAAAAGCACCATACATCATCCTTCTCAACAAAGTGTTCTAGTTCACAGACATTATGATGTCTGCACCACGCATTAATCAGAGTTCCTTGTCTCATCTGAGTATGCAAGACACAAAGGAGGAA